TTTTGTTATAAAATATTATGAAAAGGATTATAGATAATAAGATTCCCCTTCATGGTAGATAAATTGGGAAATAGAATAATGTTTAAAAATGAAAATTAAGCTACAACGTAGTCATAGAGTACATAATCTTAGGATTTTGATGTTTATCTTTTCTACTATTTTCTAAATAAAATTTAAGTTGAAAGGTATTTCAACTATAGTCAAAGTATACTATAGGTTTACAAGGTTGGTGCAGGATCATGGAGAGTACCTTTAGGATTTTATGCTTGGCCATTACAATAAGCCACGGGATTGGTCATCTTTGTGGTGGATGGACAGCGTGTTGACCCTCCTCATCTATTTAAACCAGCAATAAATTTAAATTGTAATTGGGGTCAGCTTTTCTTTCAACATTTGTGTGTCTGTGTGGAAAGATAATATATCTATACCTATCTATATATAAAATCCCAGCTTTCATTCCTGAAACTTGCTTGGCTTAATGTAAACTAAATTACTATTTATATGTACATATTTGGATTTAAAAAGCTCACTAAAGCTGTATGTCTTTTAATGGGAATAAAGGAGGTTTCTAATTTTTATTTAAATGATGTTTGAAAACTTTTGCTCATCTCTGTGATGCCATTGCAAGGGCAGAACTTAATTCTGTTCACAATATTATTTTTTTTGTCTATGGGACTCTTACTGTTCTTTGACCTTAACCACCTGTTTTTCTTCTTCTTTCCAATCAATGTGCATCTCTGAAAGTGTTTCTATATCGTCTATTCCAGTGGTTCTCAACCTTCCTAATGCCGTGACCCTTTAATACAGTTCCTCTCATATGGTGGTGACCCCCAACCATAAAATTATTTTCGTTGCTACTTCGTAACTGTAATTTTGCTACTGTTATGAATCGTAATGTAAATATCTGATATGCAGGATGTATTTAGGCGACCCCTGTGAAAGGGTCGTTCGACCCCCAAAGGGGTCGCGACCCACAGGTTGAGAACCGCTGCTTCAGTCCTAATTGTGGTACAGAAATTAGGCCCAAAGGGCCCTGCCTTGAAGAGTTTGCAACTGAATGGGCGGCAGTTGTGTGCTGAGTTGAATGATAAAGTGTGCATCTTTCTGTTGATGATTTTCTAAACAAGGAGGCAGAGTTACATGGTTTTAATGGTGCAAAATAGACTTATCCCCACCATGCTCTAACTTTGGGGAAAATGTTTGGGTAGGAGGGAAGAGGCTACAGGACCATCGAGGGCTGGACGTGGTTCCCTTAATCGCAAGATCAGCCTGAGATTGGAGTAAGTGGAATTGCACACAGGAAGGAAAGCTTGGGAAGTGGGAGGGTGAAAGCCCGGGGCCTAGTGGTTTATCTTAGGTTGAGAGATGAGTTTATGCTATTTATACTGTTTACTTCAAAGTTGAGTAGATTAGAAAAGAAGCAAACATCGGGGTCTGAACTTGGCCTGGCTGTGAAATGTGTTCAGTAACTGCCAGCCTGGTTACTGTTTTACAGAGGTGGGTGGATGTGTGACTTTTCCAGCTCACATCAGAGTAGTGATGCAGAGAATGCAGAGGTATATCTGGAAAGGAGCTAGAGCCATGCAGAAGAAACTGTAGATTGGACAAATAAAATATCACTATAAATGAGATTATATATTTGGAAGTTCTTATTTACTCTGCAGTGCTAAGTCCCTGTACTAACAATACCACTCTGTGTGAGTGTGTGTGCTTCCATGTAGCTTTTGAATATTTTCTACCTTGCCTTCTAGCCCAGGCCAACCCATATTTTGTGGATACCAATTCAGCTGCTGTTATAAGAGAATTTAGGGTCAAATCACAGTAATTGAATATACTTTAATCTTAATATTTAAATGTTAGGAAATTAAGAAGAGTTATTGTTAAGGTTAATTTGTAATATATAAATTCCTTGAACCTGTTGATGATTTGTCAAGCATCTTAAATATATGCTGCTGATGAAATAAAAGATGTGGATTTAAAAAATATAATATTTAATTATATAATTAAAAATGTGATTATCTATAATAATAAAAGCGTAATATGAATATCAGCCAAACAGCAGAACGACCATCCGGACGACCTTCCAGACGACCACGCTATGACACGCACTGGCGGCAGGCCAGCCAAGGCGGGTGCAATGCAATTGGTCAGGGGGCCCACCATGGCCCTATGATCGCCCTGCAGAGGGAGGCCCAGGCCAGCCAAGCTATCGCACCCCACGCCTGTCACCCGCAGAGGGAGGTGACCAGTGAGGAAGGCGACCAGTGGTGGGGGAGTGGGGGCAGCACCACACAGACGGCAAGCAGTGGCAGTGTGGGGGCAGGGCCAGCTGCTGGCAGCTGGGAGAAGGAAAGCCCCAATAAGCCCTGATTACTAACCAGGCCTAGGGATCCTACCCAAGGGGTCCTGGATTGCAAGAGGGCGCAGGCCGGGCTGAGGGACACCCCTCCCATGCACGAATTTCATGCACCGGGCCTCTGGTCTAAACATAAAACATTACAAAAAGCACAGTTAATGTAGAAACCCAGGAACCTATTGCCTAAATTTAATAGATGTTACTATTTTACCTCATTTGCTTCAACCTTCTCTCCCCATTTATAAAGCAGTAGAATACCTACCTTATCTAGCGAAGGCACTCCTGCTCCTTTGCTTTTCTCTAGAGGTAACCACTATTCTAACTTCAGTTTATGTTAGTGCCATATATTAAAAAGTCCATATTTTTACTTCAGGTGTGTGTATCCGTAAACATTATGTTTTTATGACATTATCATTATTTTTTAAAAAATTATCTTTATTGTTCAAAGTATTACATATGTCCCTCTTTTCTTCCTCCTCGGACCCCTCCCACCTGTCCCTTCCCCTTCCCCCCATCCCATGGAAAACTGCAGTAATTTTATAATATTTAATTTTCGTCAACACATTAAAAACATATAAAATATATTTTTCTGGTGTAACTTTCTACCCCAACAACATAAATTGAAGTGACTTTTAAACTATTTGAGTGTAATCCTCAGTGATGTATATTTTACATTGTGGATAATACATTTCATATACATGTGTGGTACAACTGAAAGTGTTTCTTCAAACCGTAGTTCCTGTAGATGTGTGATATCCTCTATTTTCTAGCCTACCCATTTCTAAATGCTTGTCCCAGACTTAGTAAACTGATTTTCTGACCTAATAATAGGTTCCTGCACATGGTTTGAAAAATAATAAGGTTATTCTAAAATTAATATAATCTTAGTTAATCTAAAATTAATACTGACTATAATATATAAACATAAGCCTTTGTTGTATAATAAAAGTGCTTCAGATAATAAGGCCATATATTAAAATAGCATTCTTTTGCACAAGATGTAACTTTAGCTAATTCATTCTGAATATTCATTTTCTATGAACTAAAGACATACATATTCTAGCCATTTAATTAATGTTAATGAGCTAAATGTTTTAGAGAATTCATGTTGGTTAGTGTAGAATAACTTCTTTCAGTCTATTCCCACCATGGTTTCCCTGGAGTCCTGGAGGGTGTCACGTGTTAGGGAAGGAAAGAATGCTGGTTGGCTCAGAAAAGGACTCCCAGTCCTATTACCAACACACTTTATAGCATTAATAAGCTCTTTCTTCCTTCTAGCCCTAATCTTTCCCACCTACTAAATGGGAGAGTTAACCAGTTTATCTTGTTTCATCCTATGAAGTATTGGGTAATACATCTGGGCCTCAAGTTCGAGTTTGGTGAGAATATATCTAATCAGGACTTCCTATTGGAATTACTGGTTTTGCAGTTGCATTTGAGCAAGGGGTAAGCTAAGGTAATACTCAATTTAATATGATTTTGGGGGGAAAATGATTCCTCCATCCTAAAACCATTTGAGACTAACTTTGACTTCTCTAAGCTCTGCCTACTTTTTTGTTGCAGTAAGGGCCAGGGCTGTATGAATGTATGTAGTACACGTACATAGTGCTAAGCATGACAAAGGAGTGTTTCTTCATTTCAGTTAAATGTCCTTATAGGCAAATCCAAAGCTGTAGAAAGACATCTTTAACCTCTGGTAAGCCCTAGGGGACATTTTCATAAGTCCTACACATTACAGTAGTCTGAAGCTTTGGGGAATTTTCTTTTTTTAATGTCAGTTATACATTTGGAATAGGGTAAAGACATATCACCTAAACTACACACCCTTAAAACAAACAAACAGAACATCACTTTTCATGAGTCCTGCCTGTATGTTTGTTTTAAGAAGCAGGAGTTCAAATTGCAATTTGGGGTAGAATGGACCTTGGTGACTCTCTCTTCCCATTTGCTTCTAAGAAAATAGGTCAGCAAATGCTTTGCCTGGATCTCCAGGTGGAGGCAGTTAGGGGCAGGATTCTGGTATACTCTGAGGTTCCCATTTTCTTTAGGTTTGCAGATTCTTTTTAGACAATTACCTTTAGAGAGATCTAGAGAACTAGTTCTAACTCATGTCTAAGGGTGTGGACCTACTAAAGAATGTGATTATCCTTAAAGTAGAGATCTGCTGCTACCAGAGGGACTGATGAAGGTCTCTTTTTCCTAATGACACCAGGATAGACATAAGACTATGGGAGAGGATCCTCTGGACCCCAGGTGGCTGAAGCATTGGCCAAGGTTTATTTAGCTCCTCTGACCACGTGACAACTCAGTTTTCTGTCAGCTGCAGTATGCAAAACATTCTTGTCTATTGGAATTTCCTGACATTAGGGTTCTGATTCTGTGGTTAATATCTTTAGGCCAAAGACCAGAACTAACCATTATTTTGTGATACCCTGTCCTTGTCACTGAGAAGGTACTTATGTGGGTTTTTTTTTGTGTGAAAGAAGACTATGCTTAACTAGTCACTATTTTGTGCAGTGCAAGTTATAAAGTTGATCATCTTAAATATGAGAATTGACTTTTGAAGTAAAGAACATGGTTTTCTTTTTATGTTGCAGTATTACTAATGAGCCTTCTACCTGCCTTTCCCTCTCATCCTCTGCAGTGTGTCGAGATTTCGCTGTCCTGGAGGACCACACCCTGGCCCACAGCCTGCAGGAACAGGAGAGTGAGTAATAGACCTCATCCCTGCTCCTTCAGTTTTCTTTTTTATAGTGGTAGCTCGAGGCAGGTGTCTTAGAGTGAGTCAGGGAGAGAACACAGTCACCAGGCTGCAGGCTGCACCATCCATCCCTCCGAGCGATTTGTCTAGGCCCAGGACACCTGGGTGAAGCATGATATTCTGGGTATTTTGAAGTATAACAGCTGCCAGGTGTTAGATGACTGTGGGTACATTGGAGTAAAAGAGGGCCTCAAAACCTTAGTGTGTTGTAAGAGGGACTGGTTATACGTGTGTCAACGTGAGAAACGTCCAAACCTGTAGAGAAGTTTTACGAGTTTATTTGAGCCAAACTGACAATTGCCCAGAAGCAAAATCTCAACAGATTGAAAAAAAAAATGCTCCAGAAAATGGCTGTTTTGCAGTTTGTTTTATACATTATAGTCAAAGGAGGAAGCATAGGGAGGGTTACATGCCATCTATTGATGATAGTTTAGGGAGGCAGGAGAAAGCAAATCAAGGAAACCTCTGTGATCAGATAAAGAGTTAAATGGAGACACACATATTTCTTTTACATTGATGGGTGCAGGATAGTTACTAATTAACTTTGCAGCACATAGAGATGGTATGCAGGGGAACAAGATAACAAGGGGTTTTGTGGTCTTCTGCTCTGGTAAAGAGGAGTTACTCTGACATTTCAAAGGTATGTTATCTTAGATGCAAAAAGTCAATAGACAGGCTTAAAATAAAGATTGACCTTTGTCAGGGAAGATACTGGCCTAGGACATGACTAGCAGTCATCACTCACTTTTAGTTAAGAACGTGAGTTCAGTTGCAGACCATCCTTTGTAGTTACATCCACCACACAGGCCCTCCCTGAGCTTACCAGGTTTAGTATGTGGCCCCTTTTTTGTCCACACCTGGATTTGGGGTGTGTAGAAGTCTGGCTTAGGGAGCTATTTCTTCCCCTAGGAATAGGGGCAAAGGTCTTTTTCCAGGCAATGAAGGTATCTAGACTGGATTTTTCTGAATATTTAAGTATATAACTATGAAAAATAAATCGAAGCTGTATGTGTTGTGCAAAAGTACATATTTATGAATATGTAATTTGTGAATCATTAATTGGTGTGGCAAAATAAAAGTAAGTATTGAAAAATGTAGTTTATAAGTAGAGTGATAGCTTGTAGAGCAGAGAGAGCACTGGCCCTGGCTTTTGAATATTTGTGTAGAAGTCCTGACACTGCCACTGTTTTGCCATGTGACCAAAGGCAAGTGACTTAACCTTTCTGACCCTCTTTTTACTTAAGAGAAAGATGGGGATAATAATTCCTGTGCTGCCGATTAACCGGCGTTATTGAGGGCATACAATAAAGTGATGGATATTAAGCTCTTTAATGGAAAAGCTCTTTTTAAGTTTATTAGGAAGTTTATTGTTAACAAGCCAAAGCATTGTAATTCCTCTCCTCCATCTTTCTGTCCAGTTGAGCATCATTTGGCATCAAACATTCAGCGGAACCGTTTGGTCCAGCATGATCTCCGGGTGGCTAAGCAACTCCAAGAGGAAGATCTGAAAGCTCAGGCTCAGCTTCAGAAGCGCTACAAAGACCTGTGAGGATTCTGGGGAGTGGAGGGAATCATGCCAGGACTGGTTTACTGGTTTCCTCTGTGGAGCCAGCAACCAGGGCAGGGGAGGAGGAGACTCTCCTTCTGTTCCTCTCATTCCTGTCACTGTTAGGTTAAAAAATTGTGTGTGTGAGCGCATGCGTGTGTGTACATGTGAACGTGTGTGTGTGTGTATGTATCCTTTTCTTTGATTTGAAAACTTTGTTTTTGGAACATTGACTTGGTTTAAGGATGTGTGCATTCTGGTGTGAATGAGCCCTTAGCATTTTCACTGTATGACTTTGAGAAATTTGGTCCACCTATTTTCCTTCCGTACAAGATGGGAAAAGATGATCTCTGCCTCACAGGTTGGTTGTCTGGGGGAATCCAGTGAAACACTGTATATGATAGAACTTCATGACTTGCATTGGGTTCCTTTACTATGTCCTATCAGGGTTTGCTGCTCTAATTTTCCTCAAAACCCTTACTTTTCAGATCCAGGAAGAATCTTCTGGAAAGCTCTGAATTGTGCACTCAGTTCTCTCCATAGCTTCAGTGTCTGACAAACATTCTTTTTCAGTCTCCTCTTTTACAGTTAGATATGAAAAGATCATATCTAAGTTCTCTTACAGTACAATTACTTTTTATTTTCAATGCCTTAAAACTCCTAGGGTACATTTCTTCTTTGAGAGTAGCTCTAATACCTAAATCTCTAAGGGTGGATTTAAACATTAGATATTGTTTTGAGGAGAAGGGGTAAAGGGAGAATCAAAGGACCCCTCAGTTTTTTTAGTTGTCATGTTCATATAAACAAGAGAATCTATTATTTTTGCTGCCTTTGAGGAAGGGTTTGACTTTCTATTTTATTATCGGTAGACAGAACTTCATCATTTTTTTTCAGCTTCCATCTTTTGTAAATAAACATTCTTATTGACTCTTGCTATCCGTGACACCATGAAAGGCACTGGAGACCACAGATGTGAAGAAACATAATCACTGCCTTTAATGGCCTTAGGAACATATTCTGAACACTTTATATGTACAGGTACATGCATGAAGCACATGTAATTGAACAGTCAATTTCATGCTTATGAAGAGAGAAGGGATTGAGAAAACTGTCCCAACATAGGTGATATATTTAATCTGAACCTTGATGGTTAATTAGGAGTTTATAGTGATAATTGAGGAAAACCATTCTAGCCAGAGGGGGAAGCATGCATAAAGGTAAGAGGTAAAAGGACCTGGGATCGCATGGTAGCCGCAAGATAATCAGTATTGCTGCAGTGGGGGGTGCGATTAGGTAGGAGATGAGGCCGGAGAATTCTCAAACGCTGGACCAAAAGGTCACATATGTTAAGGAATTTATGTTTCATAGGTTTTATATTGTAAGTAATAGAGAACTAACTGTTGGAGTTTTAGAATTTTCATTTAGGGACTTACTCGGGGGACTGGGAAAGTAAAGGAATAGAGGTGGCAAGATTGAAGGGAGCTATTCAGCAGTGGTCAAAAGCATAGATCAGACCAACAAACCTCAGAGGGAAGGCACAGAGGGTGGGGGAAAGGGGAGAGATCAACCAGAGGACTTGTATGCATGCATATAAGCATAACCAATGGACACAGACACTGGGGCAGGTGGTGGGGCAATAGGGGGATAAGGACACATATGTAAAACCTTAACCAATAAAGAAATTAAAGATAAAAAAAGAAAATAAATAAATAAATAATAAATAAGAGATGGTGAGGCTTGAATGGAGGATAGTGGGCAATACAGATGCAGAGAGGAGTGATATCATAGAGCCTAAATGATAATGGAGTTAGAAGAGAGAGATTTGAGATGTATGGAGGTTTGGTGTCACAAACCCAGTAAAGGTGAGAGCCAGAGGTAGGCTATTCAAGAATAAATCATTGCCTTTTACATTATTCACAATTCTCTGTTATGAAAGCCAGTTCTTAGTTTGATGCGGAAGTTTAATATCCTGAATGAGGCTAGTGATAGTAAGTATAACGAGATTGTTGAGAGATGATTGAGACAAACCACTGTAAAGTACAAATCAAATCTGGTGAGTGATGGGTTATAGGTCCTAAATGAGAGGAGAACCGGGTATTATATTCCTGCCTGAGACTTCAGGAGTTTGGAGG